TTGATACCTACTGAGGTCAGATGTGTCTTTTGATTTGCGTTTACCGTGATATGTGTTTACCGTGTCCCATGCAGTTTTCTCACAATTTTCACTTTTGGCCATCTGACTCCAGGCCTATGCCAATTGAGGTTCTTTTCTCTCTTATGCTGGTTAGTCTTTCCGGGTTCACATGTATCAATGTTCATCACCAACTGTGCAACCCTGCTCTCCTATGTGACAGGGGTGCTGATATCCTGCGAGCAGTGGTTTGGTTCCTGTCACTGGATTTCATTCGACTGACTTGACTGATTTTGTGAGAAGTACTGATCAATGCGAGGCACTTGTCACACCCAGCAACAGACACAAGCTTGGAGGGCAAAGACTTTACTAACTGCAGATCTTGAAAAGTCTTGCTCTCCATACTCATATCCGTTTCCATTCCTAAGTCGTTAACCATGTTGTCCAACAACTTCTGCCCGCTCTCACAGACTCTAGGGCTATTCTCTTTAATTTCTCAGTAGCGTTGGATGGGTGTCCCAGCATCCCGTAAACAGGGAGCTGGATGCTGCCGGCAAGGGTAGCTAACCCTTACCAGCCCCATTGGGGTCTCTTTCCTCCTGTCAGCTGACCTCCAAGCTCCAGGCTGTCACAAGGTCTTTCTCTTGTTGCCAACAGCACTATTCACTGCAGTCACTGGACATATCCAGAAGTTCAAAGTTAGAGTTGGAAACATCTTGAAAATAATATTGTCTTTTCCATAAATCTCTTATAATATATTATTTTTTTTAAAGTATAGGCCAAAACATTTTATCGTACATATTTCAAAGTTAAGGATTCATTATTTTGATATAGCCTAGCTTGCATTGGAACAAACACTATAACAGTAGATTAGTTTTATTTCTGCACATACTATATATTTAACATGTGAGCAGAAACTGTCAAACACCTTATTTGATGTCTATTTTAGAGTAAAAACATTATTTTCTATCCAAAACGAAATGTTGTCACCACAGACACTATTCTATATCGCGATTAGAACAAATATCAGTAGGCTATGGCAATATATGTTTGGATGTGTTCATGTAAAAACAACGTTTACTAATCTAGGAGCGAGAGTGAAGGAATGCACAGATGCGATGTACATCTGTAGTAAACAATTCATATGTAAACAATCTCTGTGCAGTTTACAGACACTATTCAATAACGCAAGAGCACTTAACAATAAATAACTTACTACATAGTGCTTCTCGAAATGAAACTACCAGCACTTCTGAGGTAACTTTTCCAGGATTATTACGATATTCCTCACAGAGCAGCAAGACAAGGTAAAGTACAAGATTCTTATTAAACTTGATGTTTTATTCAGCTGATGTGGACATTGGCATGGCTTGCCACAACATTTACATTTGCTGTGGGCGTGTCACATTAACACGTAATAAACTATAATGAGTTCAAATTAAAAGGTCACATGAACACGTAATAAACTATGATGAGCTAAAAGGAAAACATCTCTCTCTTTTCATACAGATTACATAAATTGAAAAAAAAAATTGTGTGGTTGACGGACCGTTTATCAGTTTGGACCTATGCAGCACGAGCCGATCTTAATCAAGCAGCACTGTCACTACACAGCGAAATCCAGTAAAGAAAACATTTGAATTCGCTACTAAAGTGATAACATCGCTGCAAGATCAAGTGAGAAACATTCACATTTCTTCATTATTAATGGATCAAACAGCACTGACGTGGAAACCAGGAAGAATGAACTATGCAGTGTCCACAGATCAGCAACATTCACCTTGGATTTACTATGTATAACACTACTAACTGTTACCATGGAAGTTTGGCAGGAATAGTAGGTTAAAATGCTTTCAAGTAAAGTCATGTTGGTTTTATTTTGACATTATGAATACAATTGCTGCCCTCAAATGTTAATCTGAATACAAATTTACTTAAATTTACTTAAATTTAGTTTAAATTAACTAAAATAAACCTTTGTTTATAACTTCTACAATATTACATTTCATTTTGTCCAAGGGGCTGTTTTGTTTTATATGCTCCTTGAAAAGTCAAGTATAGCTCCATCATTGCTCAAAGTTTAAAAAAAATCATACTTTATGGTGTTAGTTCTAATAAAAATAAAATTAAAAAAATCAAGGAAATTTCTCTGCCATTTCTTTCTTTTTGCTGCATCAGAAATGTACCGAACCGTATCGAACCAAACCGTGACACAAGTGTATTGTATCGAAACGAACCGTGAATTTTGTAACCGTTACACTCCTAATATATATATATATATATATATATATTACTTCATTTAAATGAAGAGAATTTCAGCTGCATAAAGAGAAATCTTTCGTGTCTCTGTGACAAGTGTTCATTTTCGGTGCGTTTCAGAATGTACTTCACTGACAGAGAGAAGGCAAAATTCACATCATGTTTATTTTTCTTTATTTGACAAAAAGCAGAACACTTTGTTTTTATTGTGAGTATAAGGAAAAAAGTGAGCTTGTCACACCGGCGTGATAGCCGACCCCGGAGGGTTAATATGTTTGTCAAACTTAAGAGAGGTATAAAAATGTGAATTTTAGGAATTCAAATCTCCAGTAGTGATGTTACGTTCGTGAACAAATCGTTCTTTTTGAACGAATCTTTTAGGTGAACGAATCATTCTCGTTCAAGTTATCCATTGACTCATATTTCTCGTTCACTGAAATTCCCCCTTCTACCACTGCGCGCCGCTATTGCGCGCATGCGCAGCTCAATGAACCGTGTAGCTCTGTGGCCCGTTTCATCTGTCAAAGACAAAGAGTGACTAAACCTCGAGCCAATAGCCTTCGAGTATGATACGAGGACGGAGCATGTGATTTGTTGAATCTAGTGAACGAATACGCCCTTTATTGAGTTGCTTTGAGTTTGAACAAGTCCAATGAACTGTTACATACATCTCATACATCTCGTTCGTGAATGAAAGAACCAGTTGTTTGAACGTCAAGATAATAATGACGACGAAGTTAACAGTGCAAGCTGATGGTTTAATTTAATAAAAGACAGCTTAAAATTTTCGTTTTTAATAAAATCTACAAACTACATCAGGTAATCTGCTAACTTCAAAATGAGTGGCACCACTAGCACTGGTGTTGTTTTGTGTGCATTTTGTATTATTTATTTTTATTATTGTTGTTTTATGTTTCAACAGTTTATACTTTAAAAAATAAATATATATCTCATGTCATGCACTTTTGTTTGTTTAAAAACTGTAAAACATTAAAAAAAAATAGAGTATTGATTATTTGCGTCACGTCATTCCAGCTCATTTGCGTCACGTGACTCACGACAGCTAATAGCATTTCAGCTTGGGCTTAGAAGGCGCCTGTAATTGGTTGGATCTACTCTGCTGAATGAGTCTGAACGAGAGAGAGATCTCCCGTTCGTGAACGAATTGAACGAACTGGTTGCTATACCCAGTTCGTCAGCCATTCTGTCAATCTAGTTCATCAATCAGCAGAAAGTGAATGCAAAGCGCAGGTATCCGTACTGTGAACGCGCAATTCATAACTTACATACAGAAAATAACTCCTCGTTTAACTCGTTCTGACCAAACAAATAAAATGTTAACTAGCCTGCCTATGATGCAAACAAATTAAAAAACACTTGTGATTTGGTCATCCGAAAAGAGTGTAATTTAAAAGATAAAAAGAGTGTTGAGACTTTGATCGCTTATTTAGACTTATTTTATCAATTTAATGAGTAGCCTAGGGCACAATTTTTAATAAAGTCAAATCAGTTTTTATTTTGTAACAAGTAAATACGTTGTTAACACATTTTGCCACACCTGCTGCTGATGTATATGGAAACAAAAAACTGAACGAATCAGTGAACGAGTCTGAACGAATCATTTTGGTGAACGAACTAAAAATGAACGAGTCTCTGAAAAGAATCAAAATTTCCACCACTAATCTCCAGAGTTAAAAAACATTTCTTTACCCATAGAGGGCCTGATATAATGTATTATTTTAAAGATAAATCAGCTTGTGTGTAGATAAACATGCATTCACATTTACTTATATACACCTGTCAAAAATAGACCAATCAGGCAAAACATTATGAACACCTTCCTAATATTGTGTTGGCCTCCTTTTGCTGCCAAAAGCAGGCCAAATGTGTGTTTGTGTTAAATATTAGTTTTATGTGTTGGAATAATCAATATATCCGCTGCAGAGCTAATAGTTATGGCCCATTCAAATGAACTCTGGACGACTCATTTGCTTGGCCATATAAGTGATTCTTTCGAGATTCCCTATAAATAAATTATTAATTCCCTTTGAGCTGTGAGATGTAAAAGAAAATGTGATTTATCAGACCAGGCCACCTTCTTCCATTGCTCCGTGGTCCAGTGCTGATGTTCACTTGCCAATTGTTGTCTTTTTCGGACACTTGCTGCCTAATATATCCCACCCAATAAAAGGTGCTGTGATGAAGAGATATTCATTGTCATTCACTTCCCCTGTCAGTGGTCATATTGCAATGCCTGATCGGTATATAAGTGAGAGGGTCAGGTGTTTGTGCAAAGAGATACTGAGGAGTTTGAACGATAAACTCCAAATCCAGCATAAAGAGACTCCGTGAATATAGAGGTGAATGTGTGCAAGTGTGTGAGCCTGTGTGTTCCAGAGACCATGTAGAAGGACAGAGTGCCGGCCGGCCAGTCCACATACACTCCAATTCTCTTAGAGGGGCATGAAGGGACACGAATGACAGTTTCCTTATTATCATGACAGGCAGTGAAAGAGTCAGAACAGATCAGACTCCAAGAGTTTCTATTGTTTCTATTATATCCAAACTCAGAGAATTCATTCCATCCTTTCCTGCTGATTCCTTTATATGTCACTGCTATAACAGCATATCCGTTCCATTCAGCCTCCCAGTAACAGCGTCCATTCAGACTCTCTCTACACAGAACCTGAGGCCACCCATCAAATCTTTCTGGCAGATCAGGGTATAACTGTTTTTTTTCCACATGTCACCTTTCTGTTTTCATCAGACAGAATTAGATGAGTGTTTGCCGTGTTTGAATCCAGTGTGAGATTACAGGCATCTGAACACAAGAAGAGAGAACATTTACAGTGCAATGCAACAACAAAAATCATTAAAGGTGTATGTGTGTTTATGCGTAGACATACATTTATGTAGTCCTGCTGTAATCCTGAAATCTCCTTTATGATCCACACTATAAAACATACACAGTGTCACATTCAATCAGTAAACACATACATGTGCACACAAAGCACTGTGACTATTCCTACTTGACATACTTGAGTTTGTTCAGTGCATAGTTTTGATGGTTCTGTATATCTGACAGTAGCTTAAATCCTGATTCTCCAGGGTCATTATAGCTCAGATCCAGCTCTCTCAGGTGTGAGGGGTTTGAACTCAGAGCTGAAGACACATAATGACAGCCTTCCTCTGTCACCATACAGCCAGACAGTCTACAAACACACACATACACACACAAAGCAACAGTTCATATGACATTATTTTGCCAATTACACATCACACTGCAACTCAGCTACAGACATTGTGTTTTTGCTCATTGAGTTCCTTGTAAAAAATTCACTGTATACATTGTCTGGCAATGTTCCATCTAAGATTCGCACTTGTGATGTGTTCTTGTGACTTGTGATCGCACTTGTGGTCTGTTTTATTGGCAGGAGGGCCGGTGTTGTCATGGCACTGGGTTGAATGCTTTCTCTATAAGCTCAAGTCACAGCGCAGCCCCACTTTTTTATAATTATTTTCTCGCAGCCCCACAAAAAAAGTCAGTTTATAGAGAAATAAGAGATACAAAACATGGTAAAAGTGCCTAAGATTCAGGATCAAATGTTTGTGATGATGGATCAAAGCAGGATTTATGTTCACAGAAGCGCGAGCCACAGGCGAATTCCAACGCAACGCGTCACAAGATAAGATGCAAGTGGCAAGATTAGTCGTTTTAAACGAACTACATAATCAGTTTGCAAAAACTATCAATCAAAGCTCAGCTTCGGGAAGGGGAGATTCACAGGTAAAGATAAAAAGATAAAGAGAGGACAGCAGGAAGAGCAATAGCCTATTGCATACTGTGCCCAGAAGGAGAATAACCTTTTTACAAAGGTTACTTACACAGATATAGGCCTATATACACTCACCTAAAGGATTATTAGGACCATACCATACTAATACTGTGTTTGACTCCCTTTCCCCTTCAGAACTGCCTTAATTATATGTGGCATTGATTCAAGAAAGTGCTGAAAGCATTCTTTAGAAATGTTGGCCCATATTGATAGGATAGCATCTTGCAGTTGATGGACATTTGTGGGATGCACATCCAGGGCACGAAGCTCCTGTTCCACCACATCCCAAAGATGCTCTATTGGGTTGAGATATGGTGACTGTGGGGGCCATTTTAGTACAGTGAACTCATTGTCATATTCAAGAAACCAATTTGAAATGATTCGAGCTTTGTGACATGGTGCATTATCCTGCTCGAAGTAGCCAACAGAGGCATGGTGGCCATAAAGGGATGGACATGGTCAGAAACAATGCTCAGGTAGGCCGTAACATTTAAATGATGCCCAATTTGCACTAAGGAGCCTAAAGTGTGCCAAGAAAACATCCGCCACATCATTACACCACCATCACCAGCCTGCACAGTGGTAACAAGGCATGATGGATCCATGTTCTCATTCTGTTTATGCCAAATTCTGACTCTACCATCTGAATGACTCAACAGAAATCGAGACTCATCAGACCAGGCAACATTTTTGGGCTATCTCTTGCAAATTGTAGCCCCTTTTTCCTATTTGTAGTGGAGATGACTGGTACCCGGTGGGGTCTTCTGCTGTTGTAGCCCATCCGCCTCAAGGTTGTGCGTGTTGGCTTCACAAATGTCCTGTTGCATTCTACTCCATCTCTGTCTGACACTGGTTTTAAACAGAGCAGGCAGAACAGTTTTTGACATTTTAGTGTCTGTCTGTGTGAGGTAATCGGAGCTGCTAACACACGCACTCTTGAAGCTCTGCCCACTGTGACGGGAGCAGCAGCTCATTTGCATTTAAAGGGCCAGCCACAAAACGGTGCGTTTTTGCGAACCCTCAAAAAGTGACAACTTTAACCTGTTAAGCTGCAACTCTACTTTTGCAAAATCCCCAGAAATGGCAAACCCAAACTGAAACAGATACAGTTCATGAACGCTTTGTACTAAAAGCACAAGTATGATCTCATTTGAAAGCTGACACCAGGCAGTTTATTGTAAATGTAGAATTAGTCATAATGAAAAAAGAAAATTATAAATTGCTTCAAAGTTTTGTAAAGTTATTAGAAATATATTTTTATGAAACATCTTAAGAAAATGAAATTGAAGTTGGCATTGTATCAATCTAGAAATGCACTGCAGCTAAAGCCACATGTCTGACCATGTTATATTTAAAAATTGAAGATGATAAGTCTAAAACTCTGCATTTAGTTAAATGTTTTTTCAAGATCATGTCATATGACTTTATTTTGATTAGTCTTTAAATGCTAACTGGTGTTTATTGTCATTGTCTATCATCTATTCAGTCTATTGACTCTTTAGTTAAGTGGTGCAAAAGATCCCCATTCAGGGTCAGTCTCCCCTGCACACATTCACACATCTCCAGCCTGGTTTTGGCTCTAAATGTGCCTTTCTTTTGTCTGCATTATAATCACTAACGCCTGGCTATTCACACTGTTTCAATCCCTCATTTCATTTATCAAACATCTCACTTCACATTTGAAACTGTATACACTGCCCTTTAAGGACTTGAAACTTGCCCGGCCCAGAAAGGTTATTAAAGACATTTTTAAAATAGTCCAAGTGACTACAGCGGCTCGATCTTACGTTTATCAAGCAACGTGAAAACGTTTTATGCACAAAAAAGCAAACAAAAATAACGACAACTATTCATTTTCTTCTCTGTGGGCCTCGAGTGAGTTCACATAGTGTAACTGCGCAGCACTTCTATGCTGCACGTCACACACATCACACATATAACCACCGTCGGCCAATAGTGAGCCTACGTGTGACGTACAACACTGAATATCTTAATTTATCCTCCGAAATTGAATGCAAGTCTAAAAATAAAATAAAAAATCCAGAAATCACAATGTATGATTTTTTAATGATTTGTATGATACAGCTGCAAATACATATTTGAACACCTGAGAAAATGAATGTTAATATTTGGTACAGTAGCCTTTGTTTGCAATTACACAGGTTAAACGTTTCCTGTAGTTTTTCAGCAGGTTTACACACACTGCAGGAGGGATTTTGGCCCTCTCCTTCACACAGATCTTCTCTAGATCAGTCAGGGAAGATTCTGGGCTGACGCTGAGAAACACAGAGTTTGAGCTCCCTGCAAAGATTCTCTATTGGGTTTAGGTCTGGAGACTGGCTAGTAGGCCATGCCAGAACCTTGATATGCTTCTTACAGAGACACTCCTTGGTTATCCTGGCTGTGTGCTTTGGGTCATTATCATGTTGGAAGACCCAGCCACGACCCATCTTCAATGCTCTAACTGAGGGAAGGAGGTTGTTCCACAAAATCTCGCAACACATGGCATTTCATATTTAAACGGTCTTTGTGCATTTTACAGACACTATTCAACAACGCGATTAGAACAAAGCACTTAAGAATAAAGCACTCCTCGAAATGAAACTACTAGCACTTCTGAGGTAACTTTTCCAGGATTATTATGATAGTATTATTCGTCCCAGTTTAGCAAGACGAGGTAAAGTACAAGATTTTTATTACACAGGATGTTTTATCCAGCTGATGTGGGCGTTTTAATGGCTTGCCTCAACATTAGAATTTAAATGTGGGCATGGTCAGATTAACACGTCATGCGCTATAATTATTAGGTGAAAGGAAAAAGACTGATATCTCTCTCTTTTCATACAGATTATATCAACTGAGAATAGTTTTTTAAAAACTATTTAAAAATAGTTTTTTTAAATATAAATGACTTGATTTAAAAGAAGAGATTTTCAGCTACATAAAGATAAATCTTTCTTGTCTCTGTGAAAAGTATTTACCGAATTACAGTTCATTTTTCGGACACATTTTAGAATGAACTTTACTGACAGAGAGAAGGCAAAACGTGCATCATGCTTATATTTCTTTATTTGACAAAAAGCACAACACTTTGTTTTTATTGTGAGTATACACAAAAAACAAAGACACTTAACAGGATCAAATGATGTATAACACTTATATGTAAGATCAAAATCAGCAGAGTAATTTGAGTCTCTTTTGCACTTATAAGATAAAAAGTGAGCTTGTTGCGCTGGTGCGATAGCCGACCCCAGAGGGGTCGTTTTGATCAGTGGTGGAATGTAACGAAGTACAAATACTTTGTTACTTTACTTAAGTACATTTTTCACGTATCTTTACTTTACTTAAGTAGAATAAATAGTGCATACTTTTTACTTTTACTTCGTTACATTTTGCAGCAATTATTATACTTTCTACTCCACTACATTTCAACAACATCTGTTACATTTTCGTTACATTTTCTGATCAGTTTTTCCCCTGCCAAAAACGTAATCTGACCGTCCGTTCGTTGCACGTTTGTCTCACCAGTGACGTTTGGTTGCCATAGATACATCAACTAAATGCGTCTCGCACGCAGTGTGTTTATCGTGCAATTTATACGCGAAAATTTGTTTTTACGTGCATAGGAAACGTGTGTAATATAGGTTTGGTTAGGATTTGGCAAGCCAAGAGGCAGTGTTGTAGTCGTGACCACCTCACTCCAGTCCGAGTCGAGACCGAGACCAGAGAGAGTCGAGTCCGAGTCAAGACCGAGTCCATAGAGAGTCGAGTCCGAGTTGAGTCCGAGACCAGAGACGGTCGAGTCCGAGTCGAGACCGAGACCAGAGTTTAAAAAATATGATCAGTTTAGGGTAAAAAGGCCACATAGTAGGTGGTGTTAAAAGTAATTTTATTACAATTTGTCATGCGCAGTTGCGCACTAGAAAATCACCAATCACTGGGCATGTCAATCAATTTAAAGAAATATTTTATTAACGTACATTAATAATCATGAAAAATATTTTGAATTGAACTTGAGTGGACTCGGGAATAAGTCTTAAAAAAAAAAATGTTCGAGTACGAGTCAATTCCGAGTCCAAATGCACACGAGTCCATGACAAGACCAAGACCATTAAAATATGGTCTCGAGACCGAGTCCGAGTCTCGAGTACTACAACACTGCCAAGAGGTTCAGAATTACACCATAAATTAATCGCGTTTACTGCCAAACATAGTTATTAACATATAGTAAGGATAAGCATGGTTTATATTGCCTAA